GAGATGAGGTTCTGGCCAGTAAACCGCTGCACCCCTCACAACACGCCTACCAAAATGGCAAATCCACCGAGACGGCACTTCACAACCTGGTAGGTTCCATCGAAGATGCTCTGTCGAACGGTGAATCTGCTCTCTGCGTCTTCCTCGACATCGAGGGGGCGTTTGATAACACCCCCCACGATGCTATACAGGAAGCCGCGGTGAGATACAATATTAAGGATTCCGTCGTAAGATGGATCCACAATATGCTGACGAATAGAACAGTCACAGCAAGCCTGGGAGAGGAGACGGTGAGGGCCGACGTTGCGAGGGGCTGCCCACAGGGAGGAGTCCTGTCCCCCCTGCTGTGGACCCTCATGGTTGATGAACTCATACGTATACTCACCACAGAAGGATTTGCGGTTCAGGGGTACGCCGACGACCTTACGATCACGGTCAGAGGCAGACACCCGTTGGAATTAGCGAGGAGGTTGCAAAAGGCTATCACACTTGTGGAATCCTGGTGTCGATCACACTCGCTCTCGGCAAACCCGAGCAAAACGGAGTTGGTCCTATTCACAAGGAGAAGAAGATTCTATTTTAAGGCTCCTCATCTCTTTGGGACGCAACTACAACTTACAGATGAGGTAAAATATCTTGGTGTCACACTAGATAAAAAACTCACCTGGAAGAACCACGTAAACAGACAGACCCAGAAAGCAATCAGCACCTACTGGGCCTGCCGCAGGCTGTTTGGCCCCACATGGGGACTCAAACCAAGGATGGTCAGGTGGATATACCAGGCCATCCTTGAACCAATTATAACATACGCCTCAATTGTGTGGTGGACCTCCATGAAGAGGGGAGCACACAGAAGGACAATAGAAAGAATATACCGATTAGCGTTGCTGGGGATAACAGGTGCGCCTCCCACTACGCCCACTATGGCTCTGGGTGCGCTGCTCGACATCAAGCCACCCCACTTAACAGTGATGGCAACGGCTTGGAGAGCGGCCATCCGCCTATACCAAGCTGAAGAATGGTGCTCGGCGAGCGGCGGGCACACCGAGATCCTAAGGGATCGGGGATCGGAGCTATTTCTGGCCCACGGTGGTGACCGCTGCAAGACGGTGTACCTCTTCAGACGGGAATATGACGTGATTATCCCAGAAAGGGAGAAATGGCTAGAGGACCCTAGCGGCATCCTGACTCCGGGGGGGCTAGTCTGGTTTACAGACGGCTCCAAGACAGGGTCTGGCACCGGAGCCGGGATAGCGGGGGAGAGCCCAAAAGTTGAAATGACCTATAAACTGGGCCACCACGTTACGGTCTTCCAAGCAGAAGTGTTTGCCATATGGGCCTGCGCCAAATATAACTTGGAAAAAGACCATTCGGGCAAACACATCTACATTTGCAGTGACAGTATTGCTGCGCTTGGAGCCATCCATAAAGTGGAGGTAGGGTCTAAGCTAGTCAAGGACTGTATACTGACTTTGAGACAGCTATCTCTGAACAACAGAGTCAAGCTGCTATGGGTACCAGGTCACGCTGGCATCCCAGGTAACGAGAGGGCTAACGAATTGGCACGACAGGGGGCGACAAGCTCCCAGCCATGCCATGAGTACCCCATTGGTGTCTCAACCTATGCGTTGAAAGGCCTGGCTAAGGACTGGTTAAACCAGGAATTCACCAGGCTCTGGAATAACGCTAATGGCATGAGACACGCGAGGGTCCTTTTTGAGGGACCGTCACAGAAGCTGGGTGACACCCTAATTCACCTGGACAGGGCGCGACTGCGCATGCTCGTGGGCCTAGTGACAGGACACTGGTACACGAGGAAACACCTCGCACGCATGAGACTCACAGAAGAGACATTATGCCCGAGGTGTGAGGAAGAGGACGAAACACCTCTTCACACACTTCTAAGATGCAGAGAACTAAGGGCCCTAAGAGGATCAATCCTGGGGACCTTGGAACTCTCATCATTAAGCATCTCGGCTGGCCTGGTGCCGGTGCTTCTAAACTTTGCTACAGAAGCCCAGCTGCCAAGGTACAGCCAGTAAAGAGGCTGCCTAACGGCCCGGGTACAATGGTCCCCAAGGACTGAGTGCCCGGCGAGCCTCAACTAGGTTAATAATTAATTAATTATTAATTATATGACATACAATATAAATTTTAAATTGTTTAAAGATTTAAAAGTTCAAATCTGTACCAAGGAAATATTTTTTTAACTGCTGTTTACATCTTTAAACCATTATTTATTGAATTTTGTTTTAAAATTAAATAAATATTTAATAATTGTTCATAACTAAATGCTCCTTCGTTCATATTTTTATAAAAACCATTTTTTTAGGTATTATTTGGTACCTAAATTTTTAAATAAAGGTAGCAACGTTGTTTTCGAAACAAAATATTAAATGTGCAGTAAGAAATAATTAAGGAACATTTCAAGAGATGCATCTCTAATTCAAAATGCAATTTTTCAATTCAATAGTTCTTAAAACATTATAGACTGAACAAAGAAATAGCTAATACAAAAATATGAAATAGAACTGCATATTTTTTACTAATGCAAATCAATTCCTTGGGATACTCCGCGTAGAAAACGCATCGCAATTCAGTCACCACTTTTTAGGTTATGAATTTGAATAAAACGTATTTCTAAAATTGGATCATATATATTTACTTATATGCACTTTATCATATGCTTGACACTATTTTAGAGTTATATATATAGATATATGTCATATATATGCTATATTTTTTATGCAGAAGCATTTATACAAATCAGTGACTATTTGTTTATATGCAATGGCAGATTTCAGGACGTCCACCTTCTTCAACCAAGCACTTCATATATTACATAACTAAATGAAATAATAATAATAATTTTATATTAAAAAACAGATATATATTTGCTGATTGAAAATCCAAGAACAGATATGTCAATTTCCAGTTCTGAAAACATTATACATAAATACAATACTTTTATCTTTTGACAACTTTCGAAATTGCTAATCCAGAATAGAAAGCATTTATAAGGTACTTTATTAACGAGGACATGATTAATTACGAATAGTCTGACAATATATTACGATAATGACATTTCTTTTTATTGGCAATCTTTCGTACTTATCAATTTTTTGGCAACATACGGTGTATATGACGAAAGAAAACGCGTTATACAGTAGACGCAATAAAACTGTATAAAATCGAAAAAATCGATAATTCGGTTATTATTGCATGAATTTTTGTAATCGACCTTTCTTTGTGCTGGAAATCGCAAAAACTTTTCAATTTTTGAACAAGAAAAAGTGCTTATCGTGGAAAATAACTTTTTCTAAAGATGACGCCGTAAAATATTAAAAAATTGAAAAAATCAATAATTTCGCTACTTCTCCACGTATTTTCATGATTCATGTCTTTTTTTCCAGAAATCGCAAATACTTTTCAGTTTTTGAACGAAGAAAGGTGCTTATCATGAAAAATAAGTTTTTAAATAGACGACGTAATAAAATTTGGAAAACCGGAAAAATCGACAATTCCTCTATTCCTCCATGCATTTCCACGATCGACCACTCTTTTTACTGGAAATCACTGTTATTTTTTATGATAAGCACCTTTCGTCGATCAAAAATTGTCGATACGTCAAAAATACAGTTTTATCGCATCAGCTGCATAACGCGTTACATTTTGTCATATGCTACGTGTTTCGCGAAAAGATTGTGAAGTATCGGAAATTACCAAAAAAAAGAAATATAGTTGGCATAATATATTGTCAGACTACATGTAATTAATATCATGTACAACAATTGTTCAAGAAATTTAGTAAATTCCGTTGTAACGCTATCGCGAAATTTCATCGACACGCCACCTCGCGAAATAGCCCCGAATTATCCACGGCTCGCGATTCGAATATGTTAATGTTACGCGAACAAACATCGCGTAAACCTTATCCCGTTAGACTCTAATAAAACAATCCTAAACTATGTTAATTTCAAAGGAACTTTACCACCGTAAACGTTTATAACCTCCGTTTTTCGAACTCCAGGCCATCCGCGACGAGCGATAATTTAAATTCACGAACTTCCTTTCAAATCGCAGTTGTCCCCGTGTTTATTACCGATAATAGGTTGCTTTATTCACCGTCGCCCTAAGGTACGGTCGTTGCCGTCAACTTTATTGCTTTGCCGCGGCTAACGGTCTCGAACGGAAAACATCGACGCCGACCAGCCGAAGGTAGAAGACCCTTGGAAAACCCTCGGGGTTTTCCCCAAAAATCGCTACGTCACAAGCGGGCGGCCACCTCGAACTCCCCGCTACAAATTCAGCCAACGAAAACAACCACTCTTGTTACCGCCCTCCACCAATCATGTAAAACAATCCCCACGCTACGTCTCCGTGAAACTTACCTTGTAACGCGTTTTTGAAATACAGAGCAGAACAACTCTTGACTCCGTTCAATCTTGACGTTTTATTAAAACCTATCATTCGAAGTAAGAAGTTTTAGTTTTGGCGCGCACCAAGCAGAGTGTTTCTACACTCCACGGGCAGCCAACCCACGTTCCTGGAACCTTTCCCCCAGAATCTCCCTAAAACCGCTACGGGAAACGTAACACCGTATTGTAAGATTTTTTAGGTTAATTTGCCCATGGAAATATAAAACTAATTCACAATAACTTAATATCCTTTTTTATCTTTTCTCCATAAGTCTTCTTTGAACAAGACTGTTTCTAAGTGTTTCAATATTTTTTCTGATTGTTCCGAATAGTAAAATATTTCAGTTGGACTGTTTTAGTCGAATGACTTAAATTTGAGATTTGTAAACACAATACTGGCGATACAAAATAGATGAAAATGAATAGAGTAGTAACTACCCTGATATTACAACTTTTTCCTTTTATTTATAAATTCTTATCCAACAAAGGTATTTATTTGCAATTAGAAGAAAAAAATGTGAATCGTAAATTAAACCCTATATTAAGGAAATTAAAACAGGAAATTACAATTTAAAAGTCTCGTTTTCTCCTATTAATTTATTTACTTAAAATATGCTGGTGTTACATTGTTTTTGTAGTCCATGATTTGCAAGACAAACTTATTAAATAATTTTTACAATCTTCTTAAATATTAAAATAAATAAACGCCAATGAATAACCTAACTGAAAAATAGTAAAAAATAACGGAGCATAATTGGATGAAATAAAATAATTTGTTTATCTAATTTAATAATCCTCTTCTTTGGATAATTTGATCATTGTATCTATCAAATGTTTCTACTCCATAATTTCTTTGGTGTAATTTCCCCATCAATGTCTGAACAAATACTGAAAATAAAGAAAAGGAAATCATATTGTTATATATTGATACATTGAACTCCACAACATTAATTTGAAATAAAGGATTCATTGAAGAAAATAAGGTTTAATATTTCTTTTACCTTAAGAATATTTCCAGATATATCCTGCAAGATGGTAATTGCATCCCTGTTTTCAGAGTACGTATTTTGTTATTTCTCCTACTATTTCATCTACGCTGGTTAAGTTCTTTAATGTATCTACTCAATTTGTCTACTCCATAATTTCTTTGTTGTAATTTTCCCATCAATGCCTGAACAAATGCTGAAAACAAAGAAAAGGAAATCATATTATATATTCATACATTGTACTCAACACCATTAATTTGAAATAAAAGATTCATTCAAGAAAATAATGTTTAATATTTCTTTTACCTTAAGAATATTTCCAGATGTATCTTGCAAGAAAATAATTGCATCCCTGTTTTCAGAGTACGTATTTTGTTATTTCTCCTAGTATTTCATCTACGCTGGTTAATTTCTTTAATGAAACTATTCAATTTGTTTACTCTATAATTTTTTAGTTGTAATTTCTCCATCGATTTCTGAACAAATCCTGAAAATAAAGAAAAGGAAATCATGTTATTATATATTGATATATTGTACTCCAGAACATTAATTTGAAATAAAGGATTCATTGAAGAAAATCATGTTTAACACTTCCTTTACCTTAAGAATATTTCCAGATGTATCTTGCAAGAAAATAATTGCATCCCTGTTTTCAGAGTACGTATTTTGTTATTTCTCGTACTATTTCATCTACGCTGGTTAATTTCATTGATGTATCGATTCAATTTCTCAGCTCCATAATTCTCTGATTGTAATTTCCCCATCAACATCTGAACAGATGCTGAAAATAAAGAACAAGATGTCATATTATTATCTATTGATACTTATACATGTGATTCATGCTAACCTATACCTGTCAAAATTTATAAATATTTCTCTGACTGTATCTGGGTCTTGAAATAAGCGACTCATCCTTCAGTTTGCTGTTACCAGGATGTGTATAGCTTTTTATATCCATTGGAGGTTGTTGAAACATGAAACACACTACAATTCAAAGCGATAATATCTACACTTATAATGCACCAAACTAATTACCATTAAATCAGATAATTTGTATAGTATTCACCGTATTACACATATTAGACATATACTTACATCATCAACATGGTAAACGAGTCTGATAATTTCCACAAAACAGTTTTTTCACTCTATAACCGTAAAGTAGGTAACTGTTCGACTCTGGTTAAGCCACTCCTGACAGATTCATTAAAGTTTCAAAGTAAAATGCTGATGTCTATTACATATATTCTTTTAATAGGTACAAAATACTAACGTCAACTTCGTTTTTGATTCTTATTTTCCAACAGATACAAGAACTATTATAAACACAGAATCACTTAAAAACCGTCACAAGAAACATTATTCTTCAGCACATAATATTTAAGGACATTTTTAGATTTTAAGTGACGAATCTTTCACAGATACCTGCACAAATATTATATATAGATTCTACAGAATTCGGGGCTGAACTATACTTTAGGGGACACAAAATTATCCGCTTTTTTCTTCTCAATCTAATAGTCTTCGATGCGTAGAATTCAAAAATGCAGGTTTTAACTGTCGAAATGCAGATGAGCGTGTAAAGTTTGACACTTTTAGTGCATTTGCTACGTTACTGCGACGTCATATTGGTTTCTTGTCCAATGAACGGTGTCGCCAGCAGCAGACAGAACCACGTGGGTGACGACCATTTTAGCGGGCAAAGTCAAATGTTTTAGTACATTTGTTTTGCAGATGGTACACTTTTTACATACATCAATTGTTTTGCAGCCTATAGGTAAGAATTGTTTCAGAATTTCCAATGCGTTTGAAGAGTTTAGTTGTCTGTGCCACGTTTTCGCTATATTTTTTGCCGTTTTTTTCTTGTTTTTGACTGTTTTGTTTGTTTTTTGTTGTTTGTTTAATTGTTTTTTAAGTGTTTCTTATGCTATTTTGTTGCTTTTCTGTTTTGTTTGTTTTGTTTTACTTGTTTATTGTTTGCAAATAATGCAATCTGTACGGTGGAATTTTCGTAATTTGCCTAGTTCAAAAGAAGAGGCAATTACTTGGGCGCAAGAACAAGGATTATTACGCACAAGTAAGATGTGTCCTAAACACCGCAAGCCCATGAAATTGTACCAGGAAGCAGAACATGGACTAAAACGAAGTTTTGTGTCCCCTAAAACGAAGTTCAACCGAATTTAATATTTGACACATTAGGTTTTTTATATTAATATTATGTATCATATATTTTAATTATTAATTTGAATGTGAGTACGTATACAGTAAGGAAAATGTGTCATAAACACGAAGAAGATTTTTTATCTCATAAGGAAGGATAAGGAGATTTGAAGAGAAATCAATGAACATGGAACGGGCCTTTTTTTAATGGGATTTAATGTTTGAAGTTCCCATAAATGTCATTGATGATCACCCACAAACTAATCGTGATTTAAAAAAGAAATAAATTCCTACTTTGATCCACATTTATAGCATGCATTTAATGAATTTTTTTAGTTATTTTATGCTTCAATTAGCTTTATGCTTCTTCGTTTAGAATCATAGTTTTGACTACAATTTTATCTATTTGTTGAAAATGTTTTGTGAAATCTAACAATGTATGTACTTACTTTTGATGTTGACTGCTAAAGTAACTGTAGAATTAAATTCCTTGAAGTGAGTAATCTTACTTTTATGTAATTATATGCTTTTACAGGGATTATCATGACCTAACGAAACTAGAATCAAAGAAGATAGATAGAACGTACAGAGTTTCCAATAAAATACCACGACACATAACAGAAGTATGTTCTCAAAACAGAAATGCAATTACTTTCTTGCAAGATATATCTGGAAATATGATGAAGGTAAAAGAAATATTAAACCTTATTTTGTTCAATATGTACATCCTTTATTTCAAATTAATGTTGTTGAATATACTATATGAATACATGTGATTTCTTTTCCTTTACTTTCAGCGATTGATCAGACATAGAGGGGAAAATTGCAACAGAGATATTATGGAATAGAAGTATTAAATAGATGCAGTGAAGAAATTATTCAAGCAAGAGCAGTATTAAATTAGATAAGTTCGTCTCGCACGTCACAGACTTTAAAAACAATGTAATACCAGCATATTTCAAATAAATAGTTTAATAGAAGTAGATGAATCCCTTAAACTTTAATTTCCTATTCTAATTTCCATAATATAGAATTTAAGTTACAATTCACATTGTTTTCTTTTACTTTCACATAAATAGTTTTACCAAGTAATAATTCATAAAAACAATAATTTGTAACAGAGTTTCTATTTCACTATTCACTTGTATCTACTTTATAGCGCTTGTATTGTGTTTATAAATCTTGAATTTGTCTCAAACGAGAAGAACAGTTGTATTGAAATATTCCATTGCTAAGTCGAATCTGAAATGATATTAAAACGTTTGGAAAGAATCTTGTCAAAAAAGACTTATGGACAGAACGTTGTGTCACGTCCGGAAAATTTTGCAAATTTGTCCACCTCACGTTCCCTTATTAAGCCTTCGGGTTATAGGGGTCTCCTCATGTAAGGAGCGTGAACGGGATAAATCACTTCTACATAATTTCGATTTTCTCCTCAACTCTGTGCTTTCCCATCAAGCCTTCGGGTTGTGAGAGTCTTCTTCATGTGGGAAATGCACAGGGAAGAGTTTGAGTTTACAATTATTCTACTTTTGTCTTTTCTATCCTTTCATTCTTTTCAAATTTCTCAATGCTTTTCTTCAGTTAATACCCCTCCTTGAAACTATCGTCGTGCTCAGCTGCGTAGTAACAGAATTCGGGATAGAAAAACTCGGTTTCGACCGAGGAGAGGTATCGTAAACAGCCTTCGCTGCGTAGTTAGCCAGTGCTTCGCATTATAGGGGTCTCCTCAGGTTAACTGCGCAAAAGCGTAAAGATCAATTTATCTTTAGATTTTTAACCGATACTCTCCTCTTTTTCACGCGTAGGCGCCAGTCGGTCCCAAACCCGATCGTATGTGCGAATTGAGTGTTGGAATGAAAGTATGAAATAGCATGTTACGTGGCCGACGGCTTGGCAGCGCGCGTGGCTATCAGAGGCTTTCTGATTGGCGGCCGCGTAACTTATTTTATTATCAATACAACCCGAGCGGTAAGATTGTATTGTGGTAGGAACTGTCACAAGGTTTCACTGGGTTTAAAGGAGAATGCTAATGTGGGTTTGACACAGCAATGTATATATTCTACAATCTTGGTCTATTACAGATGTTGTTGTCGCGAATATAGGTGTATAATGTGATATATTACCTATTTCCACTATGCTCGGTGTTCACGCACTGGCAATGCGGGGGTGTTGTGTGTGGTTGATTGTAATGCCAAATAGAAACACGACTCGCGGATTCTGTAAGGTGAATGTTGCTTGAAGGGGACTTCAACCCGATCTCACTAATAGTAACCAACTCACTACCGTACACGACGTGCTCGACACGAGATGAACTCTGGTACTGCCCCCGATCGTTGGTACGAACGGGTTTATATACTAATTAAGAAGGGTGGTCTGGTTACTATTCGAGTGATCAGGCTGGGTCCACCTGCCTCTGCGACAGTTTAGAGTGGTTGCATCTGCTATTTGATTACGGCGGACCCATTGCTTTCCCAAGTGTTTGGTTCTGCTATCGGTGGGCCTTCTGTTTATTACGAGAGTAAATGGTCGGTTTGCCCGAGAGTTTTCCTTTCCAGATGTTTAAGCTTATTTGAAAGGAGACACGTTTGATAAAAACGGTCTGTCTACGTGACACCTCCCCCCTTAGATGAAACATCGCGGTAATCGTGATGCTTTCAATTGGAAAGGAAAACACTCACTAGAATGTGTTGAAGTTTTGGTGTTGTAATGCAATATGTCGGGTGTTATGTGTGATGTGTGTGTACTTATCGCTACGTGTGATGGTTGGTGATGCTGCTAACTGCGGTATGAAGTCGAAGCGTACGTCTGGGTCCAGGCTGCCTCGATCGGATTTGTCTCTCGGTGTACCAGGTTGGTACTATTGCAGGCGGTGGCATGGGTTGGTTTGCTCTTTGGTATTCCATTTCCATGATGATGGCGGCAATACACTCCTCGCAGTGGTAGGCGGCCTGCAACTCCATCAGGGGCGCGCTGCAAATATCGCAGGCCCCAGGCGGATATGCCGTTGGTAGTGGATAGTGTACCTCCACCATGTCATAGATCCTTGCTGCTCCAAGGGCTGCTTCGAGAGCACACTGCATACAGACAATGCCAACGTCTAATCTGTAGCAAGTGCTGCGCATGCACAGGCGGGCCGTCAAGTTCATCAGCAGCTCGATGCGACTGGTGTCCCTCTCAGTTGGTTGTTCCCTGATGTAGCACATTTCGGTCCGCTCAGATAAGTGTTTTGGAAGAATGGTGTTGTGGTCTGCTTTTATACCCGGCCTGGAACCGCGTATCTCATGCCCAACCACGCCTCCGCCACGTTGAATGGTGGTTGTCCTGGTAGACGATCGAGGGCTACATCTGCCACGACCTCACCCTCGCCTCTGATGTTGGTTAGCAGACCCCTCCTTCCTTCCAACACCCTCTTGGCCTGCTCTATCTTCCAGGTCCTGCATACAGGGCGGATACCCCGTACCCGTACCTTGAAGGCCTGCCACGGTAGATTTTGAAAGCGTGGCGGCAAGGTCCGAAGTTGGTCGACCGGTGCCCTTACCACCTTGCCGTGGTCACGAAGAGCCACCTCGAACTGGCCGTCCACCAGGTGTTGAACTTCTCCTCGGACCCAGGTACCTTCTTTACTTCTGTACGCCACCAGACGTCCAGTGGTCAGTCTTCCCTGGTTTGGAAAGTGGAGGTGGCCGCGGTCGCTCATGTACCGATACAGGTCCCGGTACAGTCGCCTAGCTTCTTCCCGACCGTCGTCCACCTGCGCCCAGAATTCTACCGGATTGTCCACGTGGACAATTCCGATCCGAACAGAACTGCTCAAAACTATATTTTTGATGGTGTTCATTTTCTTGAGGATGTCCACTGATGAGACTATGGTGCCGAGAACTGCTTATATAGTCTGAAAACCCTTATCTTACCCCACTCTTATTTCGACTCTTAGAGGAGGGATGTGTAGGAGTGGCTACGGCCCCTTAGAATATTGTGGCACTTGGTCTAGGTGCTGAAGATTTTTCCCTTGGTAAATTTATATTATTTGAATTTGATTCTTCTGAGTTTTTAGGTATTTCTTCCAGTTGCAATTCAATTTCGTTCGGTTTGTCCAAAGGTTTTAGTTTATTAATGATTTTGTGTATATTACTTTTTATTATTGTCCCAATTATTAATAGTAGGATCAAAGATACTAATTCGTGGTTCTAGCAATGCATAAGCATAATCGCCTACATTGAATTCTACCGGTCGGGAATGTTTATCATAGTACTTCTTCGAACGGTGCTTGGAGGCAATCAAATTATCGGCTGCTATGTTGCGGATTTTTATAGTATGAGTTATTAATTCTGTTAAATAGTCGCCATATGATTTTAACCTTTCGCCAGTTGGAAACGAACTTGGTTCACGGGCTGGTTTTTCAAATATTAATTCATATGGAGAGAAATTTGTTGCTTCATGTACGGAAGTATTATAAGAAAACATGGCAAATGGTATTAATAGGTCCCAATCTTCATAATTATCCATGTAATGTTTAAGATATTCTGTTAGTACTATATGACTTCGTTCTAGTGATCCATTAGTTTGTGGTCTGTATCCAGAAGTTGTGATTTGTTTGATTTTGAATATTTCTGAAAGATTTTTCATTAAGCTTCCGATAAAACTAGTTCCCTTGTCTGTTAATATTGCTCGTGGTGTTCCATATATGGCAATAAAATGTCTCGCGAAAGCGTCTGCTATTGTGGCTGCTCTTGTTACGTCCGAAAAATTTTCCAAATTTGTCCGCCTCACGTTCCCTTATCAAGCCTTCGGGTTATAGGAGTCTCCTCATGTAAGGGGCGTGGGGAGGGCAAATTACTACTGCACTTTTCTTTAATTTCTCCTTGACTCTGTGCTTTCCCATCAAGCCTTCGGGTTGTAAGAGACTTCTTCATGTGGGAAATGCGCAGGGAAAAGTTTGAGCTTATAATTATTCTACTTTTGTCTTTCCTATTCTTTCATTCTTCTCATATTTCTCAATTCTTTTCTTAGTTGAAACCCCTCCTTGAAGCTAGCGTCGTGCTCAACTGCGTAGTAACAGAAACGCGTGATAGAAAAACTCGGCTTCGACCAAGGAAAAGTATCATAAACACCGTTCGCGGCGCGGTTAGCCAGTGCTTCACATTATAGGGGTCTCCTCGGGCTAACTGCGCAAAAACGTAAAGATCACGTTATTACCGAGATTAACATCGATACTCTCCTCTTTTTCACGCGCGGGCGCCAGTCGGTCCCTAATCCGATCGCGTGTATGAATTGATTGCTGGAATGAGAACGCAAAGGAATGTAGCTCGTTGAATATTTGTATGAATGCGAGAGCGAGGAATGCGAACCCTTGCAGGCAAACGCTAGCATGCGTTCGAGGACTGTTTAGAGGCAAAGGGTCGTGCGAGGCAATAAAAGTCTTTGTATCGAATTTCGAGAATTTGCCTGAAACCGAAGACCTAACGGTAATTTTCGAATGACGAGAACGTTCTCGAAGCAACTACGTCGCAACTGAAATAACGAATATTCGATTAATAATGGAAACCTGTCGTTATTGGAAAATAGCAATCGAACACCGAATGCCTTATATCGAGCGTACCGGCGCAATCCATATTGTTGATCGATTTCTCTGTGAACGAAATGATTATGGACAAGCCAACTGTTAATTAAGAAACCTCGTGATAACCGGTCCATTATTCATACTTAATAGTACAACAGATATGGTTCATGTTTATAGCAATAATTCTGATTTAAACTATTAGTTGATAATCACATCATTATATATATATCTAATATTGGAATTATCGATGAGAATAGAACATTCCAGAAATTCTACGGCGTAGAAACATCGAAAAGCCGTTAGACAGAGAGGGAACACCAAGGAAGAGAGAAAATATGATCTAGAGGAATTTAGCTGGCACGCGCGCTTAACCAATAGCGACGCACGCGACGCTGTCGTCACGCGCTATGATTTGCCGAAAGGTCCCCACGCAGGACATCGTCCTCGCGACGGGCCCTTCCGGCTAGGATCGCGATCGATTCTGATCACTCTTCGTCGAACAATCGAGTAAGTCGGGACGGGAGCCCGTGCGTCTAGAGATAGGGTTGTCGTTCGTACTTCGTTGTAATTTACCTGCGCGGCAAGACCTACGGATTAGGCAGAGTGTCGTGAGAGTGAAATTCCGGATACGCGGCAAGAACTCAGAGACGCGCACGTTAAACTCATTTTCATACTATTAAACCTCTATCTTTTCTCTTTCTTTTAATCCGTTTGCTCGCGTAATTCTCGTATTAAATTCACTCGCGTCTATTATTATATTATCCCGAAGAGCGTAATCGTCTTGTGTTCGTCTTACTAATTTTGCAACAAACGACAAACGGGCGCGCGACAAGTGAAGTGCCGCCGCAGATCTCTCAACCTTTCTTGGTGTTCCAGATCAACCAGCGATTTCTCAACGTTCAACCAGCGAATTAGCAACCGATTATATCATAATTAATATTCTACATTCTCACGGTAAGCCTGTTCTGTACTAATTTGTCGAGCACGGCATTAGCATCCAATTTAGACGCGGCAAAACGGGCGATCTATTAAGCCTACGGGTTATAAGAGTGTCTTCATTTTAGATCGTCTCGTTTCCATATTCAGGTACCGAACATATTATATTTCGCTATTTTAATATTCCGAACTTTTCCAATCATCGCGAATGTGTGTGGGTAACGATTGTTTCGACTGCGAGATATTTTATCAGGGACGACCCGTAAGGCCCTTTCGGGGGTTATAAGAGTCTCTTCATGCAGGTCGTTTCCTTGCGGATAGAAACCGCCCAAAATTCGATTCTTCATTATCAGGTCGAGGCAGTCGTCCTACATTAACCATACATTTTTCACATCTCAAATACGCGTAATAATCACAATAGAAGCTCTCATTGTAAACCAAAGGTTAGACATTTTTCGATTTTCATTTATATTATTAACGTAATAGGTTAAGCATCTTTACCCTTGTTTAAACAGTATTGTTATCAATTGAATTTACTTAACAGTGATTAACAGTAATCTAATAGAATCATTTTAGCATTCAAACAATTAGTCATTTCAAAATTCAGTTCTGTTAGCTTCGATAGTTAATTTTTGAATTAAATTACTTTCCTTTTTGCACACTAAATTGCATTCGCATTTCTTTCAAGTCCCATTTGTATCATTTCCTTTTTTTCATTTTACATTTCAAATCCACGCATACCAACACAAGGTTTCAAGGAGGGACCCGTATGGGACCCAGAGCGCTGACGAACCCAACGGAAATAAATATTATCTAAATTTTCCGTCTTTTAATTTCGTTCTGACCGTAGAGGACGCTTCCGCGTCATACGCGGTCAGAACTGGTGGCAGCGATACCTTTCTCATCGCCCAAAAATAAGAATTATTATTATATATATATAAAACAAATATATTTATAATTGATTTTACGTTGCGCGCTCACGCAACGCGCAACGTAACACTCTAATGTTTGGTATTGCTACTGCTATACAATATTTCGTTAAACAATCTTGCATTGTGAGAATGTATTTATTTCCGCTAGGCGTTAAAGGTAAAGGTCCTACGGTGTCTAAAGCAACTTTATCAAATGGTTCTATCGGGGTATCGGTAATTAACATTGGTTGACGAGTTTTTGCTCTAACTAATTTCTCTTCTTGACAGCTTGGACATTTCCTGATATAATTTCGTATTTCGTTGTGCATTTCTGGCCATTGATATTTCGCTCTGATGCGTTTATATGTTTTTGTGACTCCTTTATGTCCTCCTATCAAACTGTCGTGAGCTTCGCGAATTATTTGTAATCGATCTTCTTCTGATGGTGTAATCGTTGAACAATTGCATATGATGATTTTCTGTGTTGTACCGTTGAAAACGTCCTTTATTAATTTAGTTAATTCATTGGTTGGTAATTTATGAAAATCTCCGACTGCTGATATTCTAAATGATTTAATTGGATTTTGATCTAAATGCTGTTTCAGTGTTTGTAGTCCGTTTAGTATATCTTCACTTTTAATGGTGTCGTAAAAATTATCTGATATTATTATACTGTAAACTTTGTATGAGCCATTTGCTGATTCTATTACGTCTCCTTTCTGCGGTTTCTTTGACATGAGCTGTTGTAAATCTATTGCTTCTGTGTCCAGTAACAGTTTTCCAATGGGGGTTACCAATTTACAGTCCGCAGGTATGAAATGTGCGTAATGACCTTCCTCGGTGGTCAGGGTGTTTGGAGAGATAATAACCTCAAGTGTCTGTGAAGGTTGCACTTTTCTTCGCAGGTCATCTCCCTCCGTGGAAAGAGTGTCTGTGTCAAGAAGTGTGAACGGATAAGGGTCAACGGTACGGTCAAAGTTTTCCTGTGGTTGCTGGATTGCCGTTCCTATTGTTTCGTTAACAGGTTGTGGTTGTAAAATTCCCTCATTTGTTACAAGTGATAATGGTGTATGGTTAAGTAAATCCTGTTGCGGGTTTGCGATTATCGTGTTTTCCGTAATGGTATTTTCTGATGGTTCTTCGAATGAAATCAAGTTTACGTCTTCTTCTGTCGATGTGATTTTAGTAGAATTTGCTTGCGGATGAAAGTTTATTGTTTCCATGTGTTCATCTGGCATACTTATCTCGTGCGATAAGTTAGGTAAGACTCTCGGTCTATCTGCTATTGGAGAATGTTGAACCTTCCCACGGGCTGGTTCTTCATCAGAGCTAGTGTTTTCCTCTTGATATTTCGGTCTCCTTTCCCTGTCCCTTTGTAGTTGCCGCACACGAAATCCTATGGAATCCGTGTCGATTTCTGGTTTCTGTCCTATGTGCTTGTAATCGGGGTCTTGAGGATCTCGGGGTATAAGTGGTAAGCAAGATGGTACTGGGTTACGTGATAATGCGTCTGCGTTCTTGTTCGTCTTTCCTGCTTTATGGATAACCTGATATTCGTACTCTAAGAGTCTGAGTCTCCACTTCATAAGTCGTGATGTCGGATCCTTGACAGAGTGTAACCAGACTAACGGTCGGTGATCTGTGACGAGTGTGAATTTTGTTCCATAAAGATACGGTCTGAAATATTGTACTGCGTAAACCATTGCAAGACATTCCTTTTCTGTAGCAGAATAATTCCTTTCGGCTTTATTTAAGGTACGAGATGCGTAGGCAATTGGTAGATCGTTTCCTATTTCTCCTTGACTAAGTACAGCTCCAATTGCGTAATCTGATGCGTCAGTGGTAACAATGAATGGTCGATTAAAATCCGGATATTGTAAAATTGGTTGTGTACAGAGTTCGTCGCGTAAATTTTCAAAACTTTTTTGCTGGTCTTCGGTCCACTTAAAACGAATTCCTTTACCTAATAACTGAACTAATGGTTTTGATTTAATAGAATAATCTTTTATGAAACGGCGATAATATCCTGTCAGTCCCAAGAACTGCTGGACATTTTTCTGTGTTTTAGGAATGGGAAATTCTTTTACAGCTTGTAATTTACGAGGATCTGGCTTAACACCATTTTCTGTTAAAATGTGTCCTAAATAAGTAACCTCCTTACGTAAGAATTCGCATTTATCAATCTGCAGTGTAAGTCCAAATTCTCTGAGCCGATTGAGTAATTTTTTTACTTTTATTTCATGTTCTCGTAGTGATGAAGAGAAAACAACCATATCGTCTATGAATACATGAGCGTTCTCTAGACCAGATATAACTTGATTCATTAAGCGTTGAAATGTCGGTGGTGCATTTTTTAAACCAAATGGCATGCGTACAAATTCAAAATGCCCATCCGGTGTTGTGAATGCTGTTTTCGGACAATCCTTAGGATCCATTTGAACTTGATGAAATCCATTTGCTATATCAAAAATTGTGAAATATTTTGCTCCTCCCAATTTATCTAGAATTTCGGTGATATTCGGCAAAGGAAATTTATCACTCAAAGTCTTTTCGTTTAAGGCTCGGAAATCGATTACCATACGCCAACGCTTATTGCCCTTAGCGTCTGGTTTCTTTGGTACAATCCATAACGGAGAATTATATGGTGAACTAGATGGCTGTATGACTCCTTGTAATAACAGAGCCTTTACTTGACGTTGTATTTCGTCTTGGTGTACTGGTGGATATCGGTATTGTCTTGTATTAATCGGTACGTCATCTGTTGTATGAATTGAATGGTAAAAATTCGGTACTTCTCCTAGTTTGTCTCCAGGCAAGTAAAATCTGTCTGAAAATTCGTCGACGATGTTGAATACATGTTTACGTTCTTCTGCATTGAGATGATCGGTTCTTAAAAGATTTCTAATTCGTGTTGCTCTATTTTCTGGTGTGTTTTCGGTCATATATGAAGAAATTGGGTCGTCGTCCGACGAGTCGTAAATATCGTAAGGATGAATGTATTGAGGTTCAATTTCGATGTCTACATCGTCTTCTCCGGTATTCGTTGCTAACGCGTAACAAATGCCGTCACGATTATATACTGCTGCTTCGCCAATGTATATATTTTCTGATGTTTTGAGTCGCGGTAAGTATCCCTCTTTAATATTTGGATTAGCTATGTGAATTGCAATTTGTTTTGTTGTTCGAGCTTCGATACGGTGTTTAGTCGATTTCGGATTTTTCTGCTGAGCTAAATCTCGGTAATTTGAAAAACGAAGTGGTCGAATAGGTTTATCTTTCAATACTAGTGTTCCATGATAATATGAAATTTCTGCTTCTTCTTGTAATAAAAATGGGCTGCCTATAATTCCATCGGCTTCTATTGCAAGGTTCTCTACTACGTAAAATAATGCAGGCTTACCGTGAATGTGAAGAATTGTGGTTCCTATGCTATAAATAGGTGATTTTGTAAGTCCTGTGATTTCAATAACTTCTTTAGTGATACGTTTGGCTTGATCTCCGAGAACATCGCGCACTATTAAGTTAACTGCCGCGCCACCGTCAATTAAAAATTCAGCTGTTTCTAATTCTAATTCCGGAACTTTGATTTTTATTCTTGGTGCTGGGGTTTCCTTGATGAGGATTCTCCCGTGAATCTGACTATCTTTTGGCGAGGTCTTTGCAGATCGCTCACCGCCTCGCCTTTCCGTTGAGCGTTTTCTGAGTTTAAAGACTTGTTTGATTCGACTGAAGAATTTCGAGAGTATGATCGCTGTCTGAAATTTTGCGAATTCCTCCTACAACGTTTTTCATCGTGTCCTTGGGTATCACATCGCCAACAATATAGCTGCGAAGTATCATCCTTTTCACTGCGTTTTAAAACTGTAAACCGTTTTTCATCTTGATCTGTGCGTGGTGAATTTGAACGATAAGAAGGTGAATTCGATTGATTCCTGGATCGCACAGTCCATGCTGATGTACGTGGTCGTCCTTCTCTCTCGTCTTCAGAGTTAGATGGTCTCCTCTGTCGATCTCTATATCGATCGTGTCGTGTTGGAGATTGAGGGTATGAAATTTCATTTCGACGTTCGTTGCTGTGGTGATCCCTGTTGTTCCAGCCTCCTGGTGATGTGTTTCGTGCCAAATCACGACGACTTCTTAATTTCCTGTCTACCTCTAGCACAGCGTCAAAAGCTTCCTCTAAGTTTTTAATGTCTCTATTTTGTGCTTGTTCAAAAGTGGGCGTTCGAGTTTGAGATTGTACGAGACCGGTTCGGTTGTAGGATCGGCAGTGAGACGGGAAAATTATGTACTTGAGTTTGCACAAAAAACAATGTATTTACACAAATATTTACACTATGTACAATTGTTGTTCGTTGAACAATGTAAGAAATGCAAATGTTAGTGCGTTGCACAATTTCACCCGCGTCGCGGCGAAATTTGAGACCGAGTTCGAGATGTTTGAAACCACGTGTTGGATTAACGCGTGGCACCACGTAATTATATTAATCACGTGGATTTTGGCGAGCTGATGAGCTCACACACTCGCAAAGGCCGTTGGCACTTTTACACGCGTTGAGAGAAGTGTATTTTTGCGAGATTGAGCGGAATTATTAGAACTATGCGAAAACTGAGATTGCACGTGTGAAGGCTACGTAAACCAGAGCGATAATGGCCGATCAACCGGCTTCGTCGCAACAAGAACCGTTGGCTTCTTCTTGCTGACGTAACGCTCCCTGATTGGTCGGCGTGACCGGCATCCAAGGTGGCTGCCGGTCGCGCTGCTAAGTGCTGCCGCGGTCCGCGTGCCGGCGGTAGAAATTACATTTTCGAACATTCCGCCCACCATCAGCAGCTCGTAGAAGATGGTGATGAATCCTGATCCGCTACTGGTAGTAGAGCCAACCTTGCAATTGGCCGAGTTAGAGTTGAGGTGGCCGTCTTGATCGTGACGACCCTCGTCAGTCCATCTGGTCCAGGGTGAACTGCGAGCACTCGAGCAAGAGGCCACTTGCATGGTGGGAAGCGCTCGTCTGTAAGCAGCACCAGAGATCCAACGTGGATGTTGTTGGAAGGGTGATGCCACTTAGAGATTGATTGCATCCGTTGGAGATGTTGAGTTGACCAGCGCTTCCAGAATTGTTGTAATTTTTGTTGTATGAGATGCCACCTGGCTCTCGGTGAGATGTTGGCCTGTTCAACAGATGGCTCAGGCAGCGTTGAGATTGCTCTTCCGATTAGGAAATGAGCTGGTGTTAGCACTGAGAGATCGTCAGGGTCGTCCGTGAGAGGCTCCAGTGGTCGTGAATTAAGCGTTGCTTCAATCTGATTTAGAAGAGTATAGTATTCTTCAAAGGTGAGTAAAGTGTCACTCACCGTGCGTCTGAGATGGTATTTGACAGACTTGACCACTGCCTCCCACTTTCCTCCCATGTGCGGTGCAGCAGGTGGATTGAAACTCCAAGTTGTATGGTCGTCGACGAACAGCTTGGCCAATCGTTGATTGTCTTGAGTGCCCTCGACGAACATTGATTTCAATGCTGAATCTGCTCCGATGAAGTTTGTTCCGCAGTCGGAGTAGATTGTATGTGGAATGCCTCTTCTTGCAGCGAACCGTCGGTACGTGGCAACGAATCCATCCGTTGAATAGTCGGTAACCATTTCCAGATGAACAGCAGACGTTGTCATGCAAACGAAAACACAGATCCAGCCCTTTTGTGTTTTCGCACCTCGCCCCTTCCACGTCTTGAGTGCGATGGGACCGGCGTAGTCTACGCCGGTGTGTGAGAATGGGTGTGAGGGTGTAACCCGAGAGAGAGGTAGTTGGCCCATCAGTTGATGGGCACGGATCCCCCTCTGCCGAGCACACACAACACACCGCAGAATGTGAGATTTGACTGGAGCTCGTCCACCGATGATCCAGTAAGTCTGTCTGATGTGAGCGAGTGTGAGTTGTGTCCCTCCATGAAGCGTTGCTTTGTGGGAGTGATCTACAATCAATTCGGACAGACGTGAGTGACGTGGAAGGATTGCAGGGTGTTTACCTTCATAGGTTAACTGAGCGTTGCTGAGTCTTCCTCCAACTCGAATAACCCCTTGATCGTCGATGAAGGCCGTGAGTCGATTGAAGGCGTGGGACGATGGTAACGTTTGGTTGTTGACCATCATCTTGAGCTCGTGTGAGAAGTATGCTGATTGTGTGGCCTTGATCCAGAAGATTTTGGCCCTTTCCAAATCAGCTGGTGTGTTCGAGAGCCTCGTTGAAGCAGTTGTCCTTCTCAGTTTGGAGATGAACCTGTAACAAACTGAGGTAACATGAAAAAGTTTTTGCAAAGATGAATATTTGTGAATCAAGTCCCAGTGATAATCGATTTTTTGGCACGTTAACACGTGAGAGATTCCTGGGCGACACTCCTGCAGGCAAGTGTCGTCAGATGCGTTGCGTTGTACAGGCCATGATTCTTGAGATTGTAAAAGCCACGGTGGTCCCCTCCACCATAGCTCGTGTTGTTCAAGCTGAGTTGTAGTCAATCCTCTTGAAGCGCAATCAGCAGGATTTGATGTGCCAGGAACGTGCACCCAAGTTGCAGTTTGCGTTAGTTCTTGAATTTGTGTTACACGATTCCTGACGTAATCTTTCCATCGTGATGCGTGAGATTTGATCCATGTAAGTGTTACTTGAGAATCCGTCCACAGGTGAATTGTAGCAATGTTGAGTTTGAGATTAGCTTGAACGTATTTCAGTAATTTTGCAAGTATCAGCGCAGCTGTGAGCTCGAGTCGGGGAATTGTAAGTTTTTTGAGAGGTGCGACCTTTGTCTTGGAGCACACCAGTGACGTCACCTTGAGATCTGTGGACGGCGAAAAAACAGTAATGTAAATTACTGCTGCCATGGCGAGTTGTGAAGCGTCAGAGAAGCCGTGTAATTCCACTGTAGAATTGTTGTAGGTGTTGAACCACCTTGGTATTGAGAGTCTGGCCAGACTTGTGAGATCTTCTCTGATCGCAATCCATCGTATAGTAACATGGGATGGCAGTGGATCATCCCATTTGAGATTGAGAAGCCATAATTCTTGCAGGAGTACCTTCGCTCGAATAATGACTGGTGACAAAAAGCCAAGCGGATCAAATATCTGTGCTACTTCAGATAATACAAGGCGTTTTGTAAAATTGAGATTGTGGTGAGATTTAGTAGTGAATGTGAAACTATCGTTGACAGTGTTCCATCGCAATCCGAGTATTTTGGTGTTGCAGTCGTCTAGTGAGATTGATGTACCTTGAGAATTATTGCAAGGCACGATGGTTTCAAGCAGAGAGGCTTCGTTTGAGTGCCACTTTGCAAGAGGGAAACCGCCCGCGTTGCACAAGTCAGTTAATTGTGAAGCAATTTCAATTAACGAATCAAAAGAATCTGCACCACCAAATATGTCGTCGACATACCTTGCATATTTGATTGATGGTACTGCCAGTGGGTAGCGTTGACCTTCGTCCTCTGCAAGTTGCAACAGGGCTCTGACAGCTAGAAATGGTGCAGCTTTGGTACCGTAGGTGACTGTTGTCAGTGTGTATGGGACTTCATTTGATTCCTCATCTATCCAGAGTATCCGTTGGAGATTCCTATCGTCTTCATGTACTCGTACTTGACGATACATCTTTGTGATGTCCGTGGCGAATATGCATTTGTGATGGCGAATCCACAGCAAAACGTCGTTGATGTTGAGCAGGAGATTCGCACCAGTGTGCATGATGTCGTTGACAGAAAGTCCAGTTGTTGTTGGACTTGAGCCATTGAAGACGACCCGCAGCTTTGTTGTTTCACTGCCAGGCTTGAAAACTCCGTGATGTGGAAGATAGTAAATTGAAGAGTCGTTGGGCGAGATTGAAGAAGCCTTCTTCATGTGACCGAGGTCCTCGTACTCCATCATGAATCGCTGATATTGCTCACGGTACTCAGGATTTCGAGTGAGCTTGCTGAGCGTGCGTCGCAGGCAGGAGCGAGCTGTGCTGTAAGAGGTACCCAAGACTTTAGTATTTGTTTTGAGAGGAATACGCACCACGTATCGCCCAGTAGAATCACGGCTGTGCGTTGCACGAAAGTGATCTTCACACTCTTGTTCGTCCGGTGTGAGTTGAGATGTGTTTTCCGTTGGAAGCTCCTCTTGAATCCAGAATTTCGTCAGCAGTTCTCTCAGAGCAGCGTCGCTGTCTTGAGAGATTGATGCATTAAATGATGAATAAGCACGAGCTTGACGCCTCCTTGCTGGTCCAATAACGAGCCATCCGAATATTGAGAGCTGGGCGACTGGCATTGATGGCGAACCTTTGATTACATTTGATTTTATAATTCGTCCATAATTGTCGGCACCGATGATGACGTCGATGGGTCGTGGTTTGTAAAACTCAGGATCTGCCAACTTGAGACGATTGAGATGTGGCCAGTCTTGGTGGGGTGCCTCAGAAGACGGCAAAATTGTGGTTAGAATGCGCAACACATGAGTTTGTATTGAGATCGATGAGGTATTGTAAAGAGATTGTAAATGTAGTGATACAATACCTCGAGTTTGTGTTGATTTCTTGCCACCAATGCCAGTGATGGAGATTGAAGATTGAGTGCGTTGAAGTCCTAGCTGTTCGACGAGATCTTCAGAAACGAAACTGAGCTCCGATCCGGAGTCGACGAGCAGCCTTGCGTTGTAGGTCGTGGATGAGGTGATGACTTGTGCATGTGCTGTTGCTAACAGCGTTAGCTCGGCTTGCGTCGCAAGCGAGCTTGATCGTTGATCGTTTGTGTTGGCGGTTGTACTGGATCGTTGACCCATTGAAATCGAGCTTGAGTGCTTGACGACTGCACCTACACTTTATTGTGTTTGTGTTGAAGAGGACGACGTTGTCGGATTCTCTTGTGTTGCCGCAGGCTTGGCTGTGGTCTGTGGCTGCGTTGCAGCCAGGTGTAGAATTGTGTGATGAGGCCGTCCACACTGTTTGCAACGGTGTTCAGACTTGCAATTCGCAGTGGTGTGACGGCCGCAACAATTTCTGCACAGAGACAGTTTGTCCACTAGACTTCGTCTTTCTGGTACAGGCATCGACCTGAACTTTGTGCATGACACAATGAAGTGGTCGGCCTGACAACAGTCGCACGGATAGGCGTGTGCGGCTGCTCTTGTGATGGTGTTAGCCTGTGACGTTGTCAAGGCAGGTCGTTGACCTGTTGGTTTCGCCTTTGCCTGAGGTTGAGCAGGCTGATTTTTGGCCGTTGGCGTTTCAACCCTTTCTAGAGCCCGTGCCTTGGTCGTCAGGAACGCCTCCAGTTGCTCTGGCTTCGGAAATTCTTCAGAGTTTCCTAGGCTGGTTTCCCAAGCCTCTCGCGTAGTCTTGTCAAGACTACGAGAGATGTGATGGATGAGTGTGCAATTCCACAACTCGTCGGTTGAAGCAAGAGCGCGCAACGAGGTGTTGAAATCGCGCAAATTGGCCGCCACGTTGTGGAGAACCATTGCGCTCTTCTGTTGCACTGGTGGTGTCGCACAGAGCTTGTCAAGCAGAGATTGTACGATGATTCTCTTGTTCTCAAAGCGTTGCTTTAAATTCTTCCAAGCAATTGGGAAGGATTCTCCTATCGCCGGCAGGTTGGAGATGGCGCGTAGCGACTCCCCTTGGAGGCTTGACCTCAAGTAATGCAGCCTCTCCACATCAGATAATCGGTGATTATCGATGATTATTGATTTGAAAAGCTCGCAAAACGCAGGCCACGCTTCATAGCGACCCGCGAAAGTGGGAAGCGTCAATTCAGGGAGTTTCGACGGCCTTTGTCGTGATGGTGATGCTGCACGCGCTGCGTGCAGCCTTGCGAATGCGGCCCGAAACTTGCACAGACGTCGTCTGATTTCGATGACCACGCTCATCTCGAGGTCGTAGCAATTGTCGCTGACATATGGATGGGAGTTCTGACCCGAAGGCCAGGTAACTTCAAGGTAGGAATGCTCCTTTTGGAACGCCTTGTGTATTTCATCGACCTGCTTGTCGATGAAGTCGATCTCGTCGAGAGAAGTTTCATCCATCATTTCCGGCATCTTGTCCATTAATTTGCGGAGGCCTTCGACTCTACTCATTTGCGTCTTGGCCTTCATGGACAACTCCGTTGACAAGCCGGCAGGAGATGAGGCGCGTGTTACGCGTTTTTCCACCGTCGGTGGAGGTGCTTCTGCCGGTAGTACCGTTGGCACTGTCAGCGTTGCTGATGTCACCGGCGTGGGTGACGTCGGTCTTGAGGCCGACTTGGCTTCCTGTGGCGTCGCCTTGGGAACTTTGTCACCTTTCTCACTCATTCTAGTCACTGAGTTCGAGATTTCATTAACAACGTTGTTGCCGAGCACAACCCGTCACTGCCGATCCGGCTCGAAGGACCAGTAAAAATGTTCAAAAGTGGGCGTTCGAGTTTGAGATTGTACGAGACCGGTTCGGTTGTAGGATCGGCAGTGAGACGGGAAAATTATGTACTTGAGTTTGCACAAAAAACAATGTATTTACACAAATATTTACACTATGTACAATTGTTGTTCGTTGAACAATGTAAGAAATGCAAATGTTAGTGCGTTGCACAATTTCACCCGCGTCGCGGCGAAATTTGAGACCGAGTTCGAGATGTTTGAAACCACGTGTTGGATTAACGCGTGGCACCACGTAATTATATTAATCACGTGGATTTTGGCGAGCTGATGAGCTCACACACTCGCAAAGGCCGTTGGCACTTTTACACGCGTTGAGAGAAGTGTATTTTTGCGAGATTGAGCGGAATTATTAGAACTATGCGAAAACTGAGATTGCACGTGTGAAGGCTACGTAAACCAGAGCGATAATGGCCGATCAACCGGCTTCGTCGCAACAAGAACCGTTGGCTTCTTCTTGCTGACGTAACGCTCCCTGATTGGTCGGCGTGACCGGCATCCAAGGTGGCTGCCGGTCGCGCTGCTAAGTGCTGCCGCGGTCCGCGTGCCGGCGGTAGAAATTACATTTTCGAACAGTGCTGATACCTTAAAAGAGATGCGGTCTGGTAATCCATCTAGGAAATTTTCTAAAATATCCATTTCCATTTGTTTAATATTTTCCTCTGAATGTCTAGGATATTTCTCTTTAATCGCTCCTCTTGTACAATAAACAAGATGGCTTGTTCTATCGATGTAGTTTCTCAAACTTTCGTATTCCCTAATTTGAAGCCTGGCAATTTCTGTTTGAAATTGCGATAAGCTCTTTCCTGGTCCAAATCTTCTCTTCAAATGCTTGATCAACGCGGATACCGAAGTGAATTGATGTTCTAAAGTACTTCTTCGCGCCGGACCGGTGAGTTTAGTTAAAATAATTGTAAGGTATTCCCTTTCTGTTCCCTCAGGAATCAAGGTCAATCCATCTTCTACCAGTTGTGCAAAACGTGATAAAGGTGGATTCTCACCATCAAATGTTGGTATTGTTAACGCAACATTTTGTATGCAGGATCTTTGTGTCAAAAGTGTCATAGAATTTGCGATCGAAACTGTTAAGTTCATAAGATCGGCTGAAGAAATATTGGCTTGTTCATTCGCCATGTTGAATGAATTTGTTGGTTAAAGAATGTAACTAGGAAAACTAGTATATACCTCTTGTTACCCGATTGACTAGGAAAACTAGTATACAATCGTTGTTCAACAAAGTAATAGCCGTGTGTCAAATTCCATGAAAGTAATTATGCCAGTGAAAATGATCTATGTGACTATATCCCACCGCTGTCACCAGTTCTGTTACGTGGCCGACGGCTTGGCAGCGCGCGTGGCTATCAGAGGCTTTCTGATTGGCGGCCGCGTAACTTATTTTATTATCAATACAACCCGAGCGGTAAGATTGTATTGTGGTAGGAACTGTCACAAGGTTTCACTGGGTTTAAAGGAGAATGCTAATGTGGGTTTGACACAGCAATGTATATATTCTACAATCTTGGTCTATTACAGATGTTGTTGTCGCGAATATAGGTGTATAATGTGATATATTACCTATTTCCACTATGCTCGGTGTTCACGCACTGGCAATGCGGGGGTGTTGTGTGTGGTTGATTGTAATGCCAAATAGAAACACGACTCGCGGATTCTGTAAGGTGAATGTTGCTTGAAGGGGACTTCAACCCGATCTCACTAATAGTAACCAACTCACTACCGTACACGACGTGCTCGACACGAGATGAACTCTGGTACTGCCCCCGATCGTTGGTACGAACGGGTTTATATACTAATTAAGAAGGGTGGTCTGGTTACTATTCGAGTGATCAGGCTGGGTCCACCTGCCTCTGCGACAGTTTAGAGTGGTTGCATCTGCTATTTGATTACGGCGGACCCATTGCTTTCCCAAGTGTTTGGTTCTGCTATCGGTGGGCCTTCTGTTTATTACGAGAGTAAATGGTCGGTTTGCCCGAGAGTTTTCCTTTCCAGATGTTTAAGCTTATTTGAAAGGAGACACGTTTGATAAAAACGGTCTGTCTACGTGACAAGCATGAAATTCAAATATTCGAATGAGTGCAAAGGGCGAGGATAGAGAACCCTCACCAGCGAACGTTAGCAACATGCGAGAACTGTTTAGAGACGAGGGGTCACACAGGGTAATAAAAGTCGTTGTATCGAATTCCAAGAATTACCTGAAACTAAGACCCAACGGTACGATTTTGAACAGAAAGAACGTTCCCGAACAAAGTTCGCTGCGAATACAGGAATGAATATTCGAATATCGAACAATTGAATACTACTGAAATCATCAGTTAAATCATCGTATGCTATTAGGATTTTTAACGAACAACTTGCGCTACCACCGAAATTCGTATTGTTGATCGATTTCTTTGCGAACAAAATGATTATGGACAAGCCAATTGTTAATTAGGGAACCTCATGCTAGCCGGTCCATTATTCATACATAATAATGTAGTTCAGGTTATAATTACTCGCATATTTATTGTTCAATAATTCTGATTTAAACTATTAGTTGATAATCGCATCATTTTATATCTAATATTGGAATTATCGATGAGAATAGAACATTCCAGAAATTCTACGGCGTAGAAACATCGAAAAGCCGTTAGACAGAGATGGAACACCAGAAAGAGAGAGAGAAAATGATCTAGAGGATTTCGTCTGGCACGCGCCCTTAACCAATAGCGACGCACGTGACGCTACCGTCACACGCTATGGTTTGTTGAGATGTCCCCACGCAGGACATCGTCCTCGCGACGGGCCCTTCCGGCTAGGATCGCGATCGATTCTGATCACTCTTCGTCGAACAATCGAGTAAGTCGTGACGGGAGCTCGTGCGTTTAGAGATAGAGTTGTCGATTGTACTTCGTGTAATTTAGCTGCGCGGCAAGTCCTACCTATTAGGCAGAGTGTCGCGAGGGTGAAATTCCGAATACGCGGCAAAGACTCAGAGACGCACACGTTAAATTCATTTCACACTATTAATATTCTATCTTTTCTCTTTCTTTTAATCCGTTGATCGCGTATTTTCGTATTAAACTCAATCGCGTTTATTATTCTATATTTTCCAAAATTGTAATTGTCTTGTGATACGTCTTATTTAATTTCTCATTTGCAATAAACGACAACCGGGTGCGCGACAAGTGTTAGTGCGACACCAGCCTCTCATCGTTCTTGGTGTTCCAGATTCAACAGCGATTTTTCAACGATACATAGCGAACCACAAGCGATTTTGTCGTATATTATATTCTACAGTCACACGGTAAGCCTGTTCTGTACTAATTTGTCGAGCACGGCATTATTATTGAATTTCGACAAGGCAAAACGGGCGATCTATTAAGCCTACCGGTTGTAAGAATCTCTTCATTTTAGATCGTCTCGTTTCTCACATTCAGGTACCGATTATAATTTATTCGCTATATTAATATTCCGGCTTTTGAATAATCGCGATTTTCCGTGTGACGATTGTTTCGACTACGATACTTTATCAGGGACGACCTGTAAAGCCCTTTCGGGGGTTGTAAAAGTCTCTTCATTCAGGTCGTTACCTTGCGGATAGAAGCCGCCAAAATCTTATTTTTCTATTATATTTGGTCGAGGCAGTCGTGTTACACTAAAAATATACTCTACATTTCAAATCAGGTTAATATTGTATTAAAAGGTCTCATTGTAAACCAAAGGTTAAACATCTTTTCCGATTTCAATCACATTTATATCAAACAATAGGTTAAGCATCTTTACCCTTGTAAATCAGTATTGTTTTAATTGAATTCATTTAATAGTAACTAACGGTATTTAAACAGAATCTATTCAGTATTCAAACAATAGTCATTTGGAATTCAGTTTTCTGTTAGCTTCAATAATTATTTTGAATTAAATTTACTTTCTTTTTGCACACTAAACTGTATTAATATTTCTTTCAAATTTCATTTTGTATCATTTCCTGTATCATTCTATATTTCAAATCCACGCACCCCAACACAAAGTTTCAAGGAGGGACCCGTATGGGACCCAGAACACTGACGAACCCAACGGGGATAATTATTATCTAAATTTCCGTTTTTTAATTTGTTCTGACCTCAGAGGACACTTCCGCATCATAGGACAATTCCGCGGTCAGAACTGGTGGCAGCGATACCTTTCTCATCGCCCAAAAATAAGAAGAATCAAATTCAAAAATCTTACTATCTTACTTGTATACTTTTCTTCTTTTACGTTGCGCGCGCGCTCGCTCTCGCCACGCGCAACGTAACAGTTGGAAAAGAGAGTCTGTTCGAATTTCGCACTTCAAATTCGTACGAACACCTCGGTCGATAACACGGGTCGATAATCCCGTCGTCACCGAACAAGTAAACGTAATCGCTGTTGCGCTGTTTAACCACCGATCCGAGCGCTCACCAATATTAAAACTCCAAAATTCGAACCGTTACAGCATTAATGCGAAAGCAATTCAGAGAGCGATTATCAAGCGACAACAGCGACCAAGAACTTTTCTTTACTCGAGTTTCGAGCAATCTCAAATTCAATTCAGTGCCTTGCACTGCGAATTCTTTAAATAGTGTAATCCTAAATTAAAACACAAAGGTGATTTTTGTAATGTTTAATTTACGACTCATTGTGTAAAAATTATCAGTAATACACAATTAGTGACCGCTAAGCTGTGTCGTTCATCTTCTCCTCGACACCCACGTCTTTGAAAAGACGGAATCCACGCCATCCCAACAATTCCAATTCTCGCCGACAATTCCCAAGAACAGAGTCAATCATATCGTTATTGGTAAATATAACCTGAGATCTTCTACAATGTTATTCACGAAATTATCTTGAACAATTATACTAGA